CCCAACCCGAAGACCCCAATTTCGGGTTGGGGGGGGGGTAATTACGGGTTCCATATTTGTTTTTTCAGTGTTCCCCGACCCCCCCCCAACTGGAAATGGAGGGCAAATTGAGGCCTTCGGGTTGGGTTGGGGTGGTTTGGTGGGTGGTGAATGCCACGAGCTCGCACCCTCGGCACAGGCCCCGAGCCGCTCACCGCGCGCTGGCCGCCCCCGAGCGCCGCGAGGCCACCCCCGCGGCGGCCGCCCGCGGGCGCCTCTCCGGAGCAGAGCGGCCGCCGCTCTCTGGAGTGGGACGTGTCTTCGGGGGGGGGGCGCTCCTCGGCCCGCCCCCCCTTTCTGAAGGGGCCCCAGGACACACAAATAAATACACACAAATAAAGATATTCCCCATATTTTCCCATATTTTCTGGGTTTCTGTCTTCCCCCCCACTTCCCATATTTCCCCATATTTTCTGGGGAATCGAGGATTAATTGTGTCTGTGTGTTTTTTCCCCTCCTGACTTTCGGCGGTGGACAAGCCTCCCTTTGGTACACCACCACGTCGTGAACACGGCCCCACACCGCAACCGACGGTTCCCGGACCCGCAGAGAACGAAGGCCGCGACGCCCTCTCGCGAACCGGAAGCGGCCCATTCGCTTCGCTGATCAACGTGTCAGGGTATAGGAGGTCTCTCCGCCTCCGAACCTTAGGTTCCTCAGCAACCGACTATAGGCGCGCGCTCCCGAGCCCTCGCGAGCCTCCGCAGAGGACCACGGGAAGCGCACCTCCGCGGACCGCCGTCCCGCAGCACGGACCGCCGGCGCGCGCAGCCGGCCAGCCTCCCAGCAAGCATAGGGGGGGCCACGTGCGAGCCCTGCCCCCCACCCCCCACGATTTCTCAGGGGGAGGGTGGGGCTCCGTTCGTGCGGAACCTCCCGAGCGAAGGGAGCCCCACCCTCCCCCTCAGAAATCGTGGGGGGTATGGGGTAGAGTTCGCATGTGGTCCCCTAAAACAGCCCAAACCGGTTGCCGTGCATCAGTTTCGCCAAACACCCACGAGTTGCCAGCCAGCCAACAGGCAAGAAAGCCAGCCAACCTGCTGGCGAAACGCGGCCATGCGAGCCATCTGCAGGGGGGTGGGCGGCCGAGTGCGAAGCCCTCCAGGTGACACGAGGCGCAACAAACACAAAGACACGAGCAGGCAAGCGCAAGCAAGCGGACAAATAAGCAAGCAGAACGACAACGGCAGCCAGGCAACGGCGGCCGCAGGTCTCACGCCCATGCCTCAGTCTCTCGACCGATGCCCATGCCCTCCTCGCCTGTGAACGTACACCGTACACCCTTCGGGGGGGCTCCCTGCCATTCATGGCACCCCCCCCGTGCAAAACCTGGACATCCTCACACAGGCCGCCCGGGCGCGCCGACACTGGCGGGGCCGACCCTGACGGGACCCTCACGGGGGGGGCTGGTCGGGCGGGCCGACCCCGACGGGGCCGCGTGGGGCGGGCGGCCCCCGAAGGGCAGGTCGGGCGGCTGGGCCCTGCCTGGCGGGGCACCCGAGCGGGCGGGCGGGCCTCCAGGGCATCAGCACGGGCGTGAGACCTGGCATGCGCAGGGTCGCGCGGACCACGGCCAGAAGAGGGCCCAGACAGCGGGGGGTGGGCTCGGGACGGGACGAGATCCTGAGGCTCAGCGGGACAGAGGCGTCTGCCGTGCGGCCCGCGTGCAGAAAACTGCGTGCGGCGCAAGCTGCAGCGGAAGCCGACACCGCGACCAGCCACCCGCCGGACTCCAGGCGAAACCTCGGCGGACCCGCCCCGACGCACAGCGCGACCACGACGACGAGGCACCACCAGCAGGCCACTAACCAGGCTCCAGCCGAAATCCCGGCGGACCAACCCAGCGCACGGGGGCGCCCGCCGGGCGCCCACGACTGGCCGCCCACCGAGCACCAGGCAAAACCCCTGCGTTTACCCACACGACGCACGAGGCGCCCGAGAGACGCCCACGACCGGCCACCAATCCAGCAGCAGTGACTACCTACTAGACCACCCCAACCCAACCCGAAGACCCGAATTTCGGGTTGGGGGGGGGTATGGGCTCCATATGTGTTTTTTTCAGTGTTCCCCGACACCCCCCCCCCACTGGAAATGGAGGGCAAATTGAGGCCTTCGGGTTGGGTTGGGGTGGTTTGGTAGGTGGTGAACCAGGAGCCCGTTCTCTTTCTTGTGTTTCCCGATAGCGCCAGTGACTGGCCCACCCACCCGGCGCCCCCTGGTAAAGACACGCTTCGCGCCGGCGCCGTCTGGGAATGAGCAGCTCGTAAGCGTTCCCAGATGGCGCTGGCGCGAAACGTAACGTCACCGACCCCGATCACGCCCGTTCATCGCCAGGAGAACCCGTCACCAAGCAGGCACTGCAGTCAACCCGTATAGTAAGGAAGCGCGATAAGGATGCAAGGGCCTTGGACGCCCACGTCGAAGCTTTTCGAGCGGGGCGCGGCCAACGAAAGTGGTCAAGAATGGGCCGAGGAGGCAAGGATGCAAGGGTACTGTGCGGGTTGACTGTAGGGCAGGCGCTAGGGGAAACCCCGGCGGATCGATCCACTCACTTATCAGCACAACTGTGTAAAGCTTCAGGTCTGGCGGGCAGACCCTGATGAGGGGGGCGGGCGGGCGGCGGGACATTAGAGCGGGCGGGCGGGTTTCCAAGCAAGCGAACGGGGGGACCCTGACGGGCGTGTTCTGTGGGCGGGCCACTAAAGCTGCCAGGCTGGGCGGGCGGACCGTCAGGGCGGATCGGGCGGGCGGGGCATCAAAATGGGAGGGCAAGCTTCCAAGCAAACGAGAGGGCGGACCTAACGGGCGGGTCGGGCAGGAGGACCTTGACGGGCAGGTCAGGCGGGAAGGCCAGGCCAGGCTGGCGGAACACAAATTCGCGAGTTTTGAATAGATCGTGAGGACGTCCAAAGCGAGAGCGCCAGTGGTAGAGAAAATGGGGGGCGAAGTCAGGGGGGGGGAATGCAACTCTGACTGGCCAGAGAGCGCTTCTGGAGTACATCGCGAGGCGGTCTCAGGATGGAGAGCAGTTGCTGAACGGCGAGAGCGCGAAATGGAAATCTGCCGACCCACGCTTGCCAGGGGTGACAAGGCGTGTGGGACATTTGGCTATCCCCCTCCCTCTCTCCCCCGCCCGCAGTGTCCCAAATCGCGTCTGGGGGGCGGGAACGAGCTCCTAAACGTGCCCCCAGGGCCTCTGGAGCCTCCAGACCTAGACTCTGTAGGCCTGCGAGATACCCAAGAATGTGTCTGAGCTGGCTCAGACTGGGCTCCTGTACGCCGAAGAGACTCCCCAAACCACCCCAGATAGCCTCGAGGCGGGCCAGGAGGCCTCCAAGACGTCCCGAGAGGGCACCACAAGGACCCCCAAGAGGGTCCCAATATAAAACAGATCTGCAAATCCCTTGGGAAAATGCGAGTTTTGCAGATTCGCCTTTCTGGTTCTACGTCCAAGACGGCTCAAGAGGACCGCAATATCGCTGCAAAAGGGCCCAGAACGTCCGAGACGGCCTCAAGACGGCCCAAGAGGACCCCAAGACGGCCCAAGAGAACCCCAACAGGGCGTAAGAGGGGCACAAGAGAGGTAACTCGAATTGACCTTTTGTGCCCTCGGCTCCAAGAAGATCCCCGAGACCGCCCGCAGGCGCGCAAGAACTCCCCAGGAGGCCCCAAGCGGCATCCTCCAGGCCCGAAAGCAACATCCACACGCCCCCAAAAGATCCCCACGAGGTCATACCCCCGTGACACCCCGCCCCACTCCGAGGGTCCCAAGCGACCCCCGAAAGCCCCGAGGTGGGCCCATGCATTCAGGACCGAGAGATCAGGATGGGTTCCACGATCGTCGGGGTCTCTCTCTCTCTCTCACTCTCTCTCTCTCTCTATCTCTCTCTCTCTCTCTCTTTTGGGTGTCGGCGGAATAGCGTAAGCCTCTAGAGAAAGTGATAAGGACTCGGGCATCTCGCGACTCTTGATACAATCGCGAGGAAGGCTCGAGCGAGAACGCGATGCTGAACAGGCTGGCAGGAAGACCATGGCGGGAGCCCCTGTTGCTACCGCCGCGGGGTCAGAGGCGAAGCTCGAGCCTGGAGAGATTCCCCCTGCCCGAAAAAAAACAGGGTGCGAACGCCAAGGGGGATGCTTAACCTGGAAAGTGACTACCTACCAGACCACCCCAACCCAACCCGAAGATCCAAATTTCGGGTTGGTGGGGGTAAGGGTTCCACGCGTGTTTTCTCAACGTTCCCCGATCCCCCCCCCCACTGGAAATGGAGGGCAAATGGAGGCCTTCGGGTTGGGTTGGGGTGGTTTGGTAGGTGGTGAGAAAGCACCACGCGCACCGCACGAGGGGGAACCCGCAGCACGACGCCTGCTTCCGAGGCGAGAGCGCCGCGCAGAGGCGAGCCCGCGGCGGGCTGCACCGAAGGGCTGGCAGCGCTGGCACGCCGGGCGCAGGCCGAGGAAGCACGGCGCAGCCGGAGGAAGCATGGCCCACGCGGGTCGGGCGAAAGGTTTGAGAATCAGCTCACGTAGCTGATTTTCCCGGCGCCTCCTGGCGCCGGAGGCGGCTATGTATCGAGGACTGGGCCCCTCGGTGAGGCCGAAACCAGCTGCATGCAGCAAATTTCGTAACCCCCCCTTTCGTCCGGCCCGACCCACGCGGGGTGCACCGGGGCTGCAGCCAGGCGGCGGGGAATCATTGGAGGCCTGGAAATGAGCACCAACACCAGCACAGGGGGGTGCCTCCACATGGGAAGAATGATCCCAGAGTTGGGTGTTGGTGGCAATATTTCGGCCACCTTGGAAGCCAGATTATTGCCACCATCCCCGAGATTGGGATCGTCTTCCCTCGGTGGAGGCACACCGCCGATCTTGGTGTTGGTGTCAACCTCTAGGCCTCCGAAATCAGCAGCGGCTGCAGCGCTGCGCAGCGGCTGCAGCGAGGCAGCGGGTGACAGCGGACAGCGGGGCGTGCCAGAGCCACCCGATCCGCGGCCGCCCCGTGAATGTGGCCGGGGCCAGAAGCCTGCATGGGGAGCCTGGCGCAGGGGCGGCGGCCTGGGGATGGCCAGCGGCCATGGAAGCTGGCAAACAAATAGAAGAATGAACACGATGAGGACGACACGGAGGCGGATGTGGAGAAGCATCCGCCGATGTGTGCCCGGTGTCCTTCCGGAATTGGGACAGCTTCGACGCCGTGCCGTTGATGCGTTCGGTCAGCTTGGTGAACTCCTCCACGGCCGGCTGGGAGACGGTCTCTGTGAACTTCTTGACCTCGAGGCTCTTGGCGGCGATGTAGCTGCGCGCGTCCGTCACCTGCTTCTGCACGTCTGCAGCGATCGAGTTTGAATTCTTGATGGTATCCTGGGCCTCCTGCAGCGGCAGCACCTCCAGCCCCTTCAGGAACGGGAGCTCCGCCGCGTTGACCTTCCCCTCTCCCCTCTCCCTTCGCATCCCCTTGCTCCTCTTCCTCCTTCTCCAAGTCCGTCTCCCCGCCCTGCTACTCCCCCCTCCCCCCCTTGGCACATGCGGCTAAAGGCTCTCCGTCATCAATTGTTGTTTTTCGTTGATGTTTTGAATTATGCCCTGCGCCGTCACGGAATGCTTGGAGCATGTCGAGGCGGCCGCGTGGTGTTGAGTCTCGAGGCGCTCTCTCCAAAGAAAGATGCTTGGCTTATGTTTCTTTCCGTGATCTTCGCGGGACCATTTATAGTTGGGGCAAAGTGGCATCGGCATCGTCGGGCGGCTTTAATCAACGACGAAACAGGGCAATCATTCAGTGGAGTGAGCGTGGAAACTCTTTTGCCTTGCGGCCTCTTGATACATGTGGCCATTAGTGTGCGTGTAGCGACACCACCTGGGTGTCGGCTGAGAATATTGTTGCTGATGTCGCACGACGGCAATCGTTTGTGCTTACTGGCGTTTGTTTGTCCGTAGTTGAGTTTGCTAATCGCCCTGGAAGGTATTCGTCAGGGCTGTCAGCACTCCCGAAAAGGGAGTGTGCCGATACTGTAGTTTGGGATGCTGTTGAGCATCATGGTCTCTGGCCGTTTGCAGCGCAGCATCATGAAAAGGCATAGTTTCGGGCATCGCAATAGGATGAGAGGGCATCTTCTCGAGTAGTCGTGGTGCGCGTCTTCTTCGTGTTATTGATATGAGTCCTGTTAATACTATTACTATTATTGCGGTCGCCATCCTACCTTGTGCTCTTGGTGTGTTACCTCGTGGTACTTCGTGTTAGCCGCTAGCCGTACTCATTTGGGTCTGACATAATCATGCTACTGCTACTCCTAACTGTTACTCTCCGTCCCCTCCTCTCTCCTCGTTATCCTCCCTCTCGAGTTTCATCCCAATCCTCAGCGTTATCCTCCTCGTCCTGCTCCTCGTCCTCTTCGATCTACCAGATCGATCTCCTTCCCCCCCATCCTAATTTTCCTCCGCATCCTCCATTCTCGCCTCCACCTCCATCTCCCATATTCTCGTACGTAATCCTCGTCCTTCCGATTGATCTCCTCTTTCTCCTCTCCACCTCCTATTTGCCCTGCGCCCCCGAATGTTCCTCCCCACCACACTCTCCTCCTCCTCCCCATCAGCCACGTCGACGTCCTCCCCCACTCATAATCAGCATCATCAGCATCATCATCAGCAGCATCATCACCACCACCAGAACCATCGTGATCATCATCATCATCATCATCATCATCATCATCATCATCATCATGATCATCATCAGCAGCAGCACAATCAACGTCATCACAATCATCACAATGTTCAAGAATATCATCATATTCGTCGTCACCATCGCCAGCAACAGCAATATAATTGCCACCATCCCATACATCATAATCCGCATCATCATGCGCATTATCCATATCAGCAGCATCATCATCATGATCATGGTCATGATGCACAGCATCAGCACAATAAGACGTACCACCGCCATCATCAACATCATCAGTATCACCACACTCATCATGATCATCATCATGATCAGCAGCAGCATCAGCAGCATCATCATCATCAGCATCATCATCATCAGCATCATCATCAACAACATCGTCACCATCCTCATCAGCATCACCATCAGTATCGTCGTCGTCATCGTCATCCGCATCCTCATCATCCTTATCATCATGCTCATCCTCGTCCGCATCATAAACGTGACCACCACGATCGACATCGGCATCGGCATGGGCATCGCCATCCCCATCGTAGTCCTACTAATCGTCATCGTCATCATGATCTTGATCACTATCATTAGCGTCCTCGTCAACATCATCATGAACAGTATCACATTCATTATCCACGTTCGTATCATATTCCTCTGCACCCTCTCCCGCCTCCTCCTTCTCCTCATCATCATCGGCACCGTCATCCTCATTATCACTGACATCATGGCTATCATCATCAGCAACAACACCATCGTCATAATCAGCATCATCATCACCATCATCATCAGCAACATCGCCATCGCCATCACTATCCGCATCAACATCCACCCGCCATTATCAGCCGTGTCCCCGCTCCATCATCCGCATCCTCTTCATCCTCTGTCTGCTCCATCTCCCACATCCTCCGTCTCCTCCTCCTCCTCCTCCTCCTCCTCCTCTTCCTCCTCCTCCTCCTCCTCCTCCTCCTCTTTCACCTCGTCTTGCGCCTCCCCCTATTCCTCCACCTCTTCCTCCTCCTTCTCCTTCTCTTTCCCTTCTCCTCCTCCTCCTCCTCTTCCTCCTTCTCCTGATCTTGCTCCTCCGCCCTCCCAGAACTATCACTCCGCCCCTCCCCCGCGGCCCTCCCTCCCTTCCCCGTGTTGACCTTGTCCATGCCCTTCTCGAGCTCCTCCGTCTTCGCCGTGGCCTCTCTGACGTAGCCCTCGCTGACGACCCGCTCGCGCTGATCCTCCGCGGCGGCGGGGAAGAGTGGAGCGGGGGTGCAGAGTCGGGCTGGTGAAGTGCTCCAGGGCCGAGCAATACTCGAAGATTGAGGGCCACTGCCCCCTGCGCGGCCTGCGTAGCTTCGAAGCTGCAGGCCTCCTCGGCACAGGTGGGCAGCACGGCGAGCGAGCGAAGGGGGGAAGCCGAGGGCAAGCGGAGGGGGGCACGTAGATTGAGTAACTACCAGGCAATCGGGACCGAACCCACCGCGTCCCCCGGCGGTGGTCAGAGTTGGCTGCATCATGTGTCACGGTGTTGCTGTCCTGTAATGCTTTCGGCCGGCGCACAGATTTACGCTTTCGTCGCGCGGCGGTACAACAAATGTTGCGTTTTGTTGCGCGTCTGGCAATTGCGTACCCAATTATTTGCGATTAGCGCGCCTCCCGCACACATGTGGTGAAGTCGGTTTTGCGGAATGTCTGCAGCGCCGCACGTGTGTCACCCAAGGTCGGGACTGACGGTGAAGGCACGTCTCACGCTAGGTTCAAAAGGGTTCGCGCTGCAAGGTTGGCATGACTGACATTACCGGCCGTCCAAACGCAAGACTCGTCTTTTTTCAGGGCGCAGTTCCACGCATTCATAGACAAGCGCCACGACGAGCCCCACACAGACTCACATACTCATTTTTGCGAAGACGCAGACCCTTTCAGAACGCAGCGCGCATGCAACACTAACCAGCACATCGAACCCGCAAGCGAAGTGTGCCGCAAAAACCTTCGGTGCACCCCCCTTGGAGGCCACGAGCGAACCGTGTGAAGACTGTACTGACATGGTCCGGGCGGCGGCGCGCGGCTTGTGCTACAATGGCCGGCGGTGGAGCTCCCTATGATGCCACGAACCGAATGAAGAAAGGACTGAAATGGTCTCGGCGGCGGCAAGCGGCCTGTGCTTCAAAACCTTTGGCGGCGTTCCCTATGGGGCCACAAACCGTGTCAGGGCGTGCTGACATGGCCCAGGCAACGAAACATTGCCTGCGCTACAAAGGCCTTCGGCGGGGTTCCGTATGGGACCACGATTGCAGGAGCTAAAACATGAAATGCACTGGGCAGCGGCGTGCGGCCTGTGCTGGAACGACAAATTTCGGTCGAGCTCCCTGTGTGGCAACGAACAGTGTGAGGGGGTGCTGGAGTGGATTGGGCGGTGGCAAGCGGCCTGTGCGACAGAAGCCATCTGCGTTGCACCCTGTGGAGCCCCGAGCCGCGTGAGAACGTGCTGCTATGCTCTCGGCGACGGCGCGCGGCGCGTGCAACAGCAACCTTCCGCGTTGACCTCAATGAAGCCGCGATGCGCGGGATACTTCATTTGACCCTGCACGGTCGGAAGCACGCAGCCTGCGCACTAACAGAAATGTTCGGCCGAACTTCCCATGGTGCCACGAATCGTGTGAATGCAGAACTGAAGCGGTCTGGGCGGCGGCATGCGGCCTATGCCCAAAAAACCTTCGGCGGGGTTTCCTTCGGGGCCACGAGCGGTGCGAAGCAAGACCTTCAGTGGACTAGGCGGCGGCAGGCGGCCTGTGTTACAAGGGCCCTCGGTGGGACTTTTCATGGGGTCACGAACTGTTTGAGGGGGGTGCTTAAGTTGTCTGGGCGGCGACAAGCGGCCCGAGCTGCAAAAGACTTCGGCGTAGAATCCTATGGGGCCACGAACCGAACGAAGGGTGTGCTGACATGGTTTGGGCGGCGGCGCGCATCCTTTGCTGCGAGAATATTCGGTGTCACCGTCTTATGGGGCCGCGAACCGTGTGGGGTGCGTGCTGAATTGGCATCGGGCAGCGGAAAGAGGCCTGTGTTACGGAGGCCTTCGGCGGGGCCCTATGGGGCCACGAATCGTTCAGACGGCGTGCCGAAACTGCATTGGCAGAGCCAAAGCAAAGATCCACCATGCAAAAAAAGGATACATGAAGAGCAAATGAAGCGACTTGGAGTAGGAGGCGGCGGTAGAGGGGGGGGAAGACAGAAGAGGAGGCGTTCAGCGCTGCGGGCTCACAACGAGGACCCAACAGACACGAAAAGTAGAACAAAACGACGGCCTCCAATAACTCCATCACACTACTCTTCCGATGGCTCACATGCCTCCACGTCGCCTCCAAGGCAGGCGAAGGACGGCTCGAAGACAAACCGAGTCCGCTGCAACGCAATCCCAAGCCGTCCATTGCTCCCCCATGGGGCACCAGGGAGTCGCCAAGATGCCTCCGAGAAAAAAACATAACATCCTGATACGGCACTGATACTGGACATGAAGACAGCTCCAGGACGGCCCACTGCAGGTCCCGCTCAGGCTCCATCAGCTCATTTTCGCACACCCAGTGTCATAAGCTGGAGGCAGCATCGGTTGACTCCCCCGCCCATGCCCCCAACGACACGACAACTCTGGGACCCAGACAGCGCTTTGGATCCCCAGTCGCAACGGACTCGAGGGCCCCGGGGGGCCATGCCGAGCCCGCGCCATGCCCCTCCGGACATGTCAAAAACCACTGCCGAGGGGAGTCCGAACCCACCGCTGCGGGAGCGCCCATGGGGGCCGCGGTGGGTTCGGACTCCCCTCGGCAGTCCTCCCAGACGTGTAAAAAAACGATGCCGAGGGGAGTCCGGACCCACCGCGGGGGGGGGAGTCCGGACCCACCGCGGGCCCATGGGAGCCCTCGCGGAGCCTTCCATGGGCTTCCCCGCAAAGCCCTCTGCCCCCCCCCTGCCCTGCCCGCCGCCCCCGTTTCTGCCCCTCGTCCCCCCTCGATTCTGCTCCTACGCCCCCCTCGTCGATCCTGCCTCCAATGCCGTCCGCCCACGCACTGTGACAGCTCCGAGTCGCACCAAAATATATTGTAACTGTGAAACACTGCTCGCCCACATGCCAAACAAATGCTCTGAATGCCCCTCATCGGAGGCGCCCCTCGCCTGCGTCATCCTTCAAATAGTGACCCCGCCATCGATCGCCCTCATCATGCTGGTCCGTTTTTCCGATGTTTCCCTTCTGCCCCTCCAATACAGAGTGAGCCTGGCGAAAGAACCAACACTTTCTGAACGCAGCGCGAAAATCGACAAGACCGCCCGACACGCGCGAAAACAATTAGTGCGCATGCGAAATTTACCACAAGGGCATCCTGTGGAGCTCCCCATGAAGCCACCAAGCGTGTGATGACTGCGCTTAAATGGTCTGGGCGGCGGCAAACAACCCGTGCCACAAAACCTTTCGCTAGAACTCCCAGTGGGCCCACGAATCGCGCGAGACAGCACTGAATTGGCTTGGGGCGGCGGCTTGCGGCCTGTGCTCCACATTTGGCAACAAAACACGTTGGCCGCGTGCTGAAATGGTCTGGACGGCGCAATGCGGCATGTGCCACAAGCGCTTTCGGCAGAGTTCCCTACGGGGCCACGAACCGTGAGGGGTGTGTGCTAAATGGTCTGCGTGGCGGCGTGCGGTTTGTGCCTGAGGACCCTTCAGTGGAGTTTCCTCAGGCGGCCGCGGATCGTGCGAAGACTGTTGAAATGGCCCGGGCGGCGACGTGCGGCCTGTGTCACCAGCGTTTCCGGCGGAACCCCTCATATTGCCACGGAGCGTATGGCTGGCGTTTTAAAGAAGTCTGAGCGGCAGCATGCGCCCTGCTCTACAAACGCCTTCGATGGGGTTTCGTATGATTGGGCGCCGAACCGTTCGATGGGCGTGCTGCAACGGTCTGCGCGGTGGCATGCGTCCTGCGCGCCCTCAATACATTTGGTACAGCTCCGCGGGGGTCCGCGAACCGCACATTGAATTAACTAAAACGGTCTGGGCGGTGGCAAACGGCCTATCCCGCAAAGCATTCGGTGGCAGTCCCTATGGGGCCACGAATGGCGCGGCGGGCGCGTTGAAATGGCCCGGGCGCGGCTCGCGGCCTGCGCCGCAGGGGCCTTCAATGGAACTCCAAAAATACGGAGACGCGAACCGCGAGACAAACGGCCCTCAAAGAGTCTGGGCGGCGGCGTGCGGCCCGTGTTCTGTGGGATATCGGTTGAGCTCCTTATGAGGCAACCGACATTGTGAAAATGGTTCTGGAATGGTCGGCGAGGCGGCGCGCGACCACGACGCGTCGGCAAGGATGCACACGGGGCCATAACGCGTGCTAGACTTGTTGCGGCGTCAGCATACGATTTACACCACAGGGATTTTCAATGTCAAGCCGCATGGGGACAACGAACAGCGCGCGGCGCGAAGGGCGTGCTGAAATTGCCTCGGCGCGGCTGCAAACCGAAAGCCCACCGCGCAAAAAGGAAGGGGACGGACAAGGAGGAAACGAAGCGGGGAGGAACAATATCAGGAAGAGGAGGACGAGGAGAGGGGGGGAGAGTAGAGGAGAAAGGATATGGCGCGAAGCGCCGCGAAATCAAAGCGAGGGCCGAAAATGCGGGAGGGCAGGGAACACAGGCAAAAATACATCGAAGGCAACCCGCGGCAAGCGCGCGCGCCGCGCGCGCGACAGGCAAACCAGCGGGGCGCCAGGCACGCGAGGCACAGTGGCCGCACCGGGCACATTGCACGCGCAAGACGACAATCACAAAAATACTAGCTGCGCCAAGCAGTTAGCGGGATCACCCGCCAACGCGCCCGCGCGATGCTCGCGCCGCCTCGCGCTGCAAGGAATCCCCGATCAGCGCCGAGCCATCGCGAGGCCTCCAAAGGCACGCCGCACTAAATGTTTAAATGGACAGCAGTGTTTGTTCGGAACGGGACCAGGCCCTGAGGGGCGAGCGCGGACTTACAATTCCCTGTCTGGCAACGCCGGCAATGAGAGCCGCCAAGCTCGCGCGCGCTATAACCATCGACGGAATCACCGGCCTCAAGCGCTGCGGACGCGCTGGCATACGTCGGTTCATCTCGCTTCTGCCCGCGCCCAACAAAGAACTCAACGCGCGCCCGTCCATGGGCTGCCGCGGACCGCAACCCTCGACACTCTCCAGAGGCGCGGTGGGTTCGGTCCCGATTGGCTGGTAAGCATTGATAGATGGGAGGGGTGAGGGCAGGAGAGCCCAGAATCGTATCGATAAGTCGGATCGGCGATCGGAATGAATCGGATCGGCGGAGATCGGCAGCCAAGTCGGGAGACGTCGAATCGGCAGAAATCGGCAGTCTAGTAGGCCTCCACGGAGGGCTCGGCATCCAAATCGGAACCCGGAGCCGAACCGAATCGGAACCCGAGGCCATCGACAAATCGCATCGAACCGCCTCGGAGGAACCGAGAGGAGCCCTGCGAGGGGGGCCAGATGGGGGCGAAGAGCGCGATGTCGGCCCGAGGGCTCCCCGTCTCCCCCCCTCGCTTCGGTCTGGACTCCTTGCTTCGGTTCGACGCGTTCCGTCCGCTCTGTCGCGGGGCCCCCTTCCTACCGTACTGAACTTGCGTTCCGGGTGGGGCCCTGGGCCACAAATAAATATACACAAATAAGACGCCCAATATGTTCCCAGATGTTCTGGATGTTTGTCTTCCCCCCCCTTCCCATATTTTCCCATATCTTCTCGGGAATCGACGATTACTTTTGTCTGTGTGTTTTTTCCCCTCCTGAAGCACAGCGTACAGGCGGCCCAGCTTAGCAGGTCGACCCTGCCAGATCAAGGGTACCCGTGTGTCCTGTGCCTCGCGACCCGTGCTTCCAACATTCCTGTGTCAATGTGGCCCTCGAAAGGGTCTTGTATCCTCTCGCGTGTCCTGTCCAATCGAGTCCGACTGTATTTGTTGTTCGGCGGCCCGCAAGGAAAAGTCCAGAGGGCGTGTCAATCAACGGCAATGGGGCGCAATGCCAGATAATTCGAGAGGGCCAGGCCACAAGAGGAGGAAGCCGCCAAGAGGGCGCCAATCCACGCACGTGCAACATGCAGAACAGGGCGACTGCGGAGTCCGACTGTACGCTGAACTTGCGAGATTCTGCCAGTTTTGCAGCGCCCCGTGTGCTGACAGGCCGCCCCCGCTCCTCCGGCCCCCTTCTGGGGAGGCACCAGCCATGCACCCGCACCGATCCTGGGCCCCGGATCGCCCGGGGCCCAGGATCGGTGCCTACGCCCTCCTGCCACTGGGCAGAATGCACATGCACCGACCCTGGGCCCGGGTCGGCAAAACAATGAACAAAAAACGCTCACAAGATGATCCAATATGCTCCTCGATTATCCCCGCCGAGGAGAAACATGCACACGTCCGAGCGACGCCAGGGGCAAGGCCTGGGAAGAGGTGAGACGACGTCTGGGAGCGTCTGCGCTGCCGCTGCTTGGAGGTGGGCAATCCCCCTGTGGCACAACGACCCGGGACCAGATCCCGTGGGCGCAGGCCCGCATAAGAATGGCGGCCGCAACGCCCGCTCGAGAACCCCTTAAAAGGGGGCAAGTCGCTCATCGACTTGACAGAGGGGGGGTTCTGTAACCCTCCTCGAAATCAAACGCAAGCTCTGAATGTTGGTCGACGCGCGAAACGCGGCCCACGGGGTCAGAGCTTGTTGCTTGCAGTCGCCCATTTCGGCGCGAGCGTTGAAATGTTTGGGCCCTCGGGCGCTGCCATGTCGTTGGAGAACTTGCGTTTCATTTCGAGGAGGGATGATCCAACCTCCGAGGCAAGGCCCTGGGAGGGGGTTAAGCCGTCGCGGTGGTCCTGTCGTTTCTCGGCTGGGGCAGGGTACGTTTCGACTCGCCTTGCGGGTAGGCAGCAGCGCCCTTGGGGCTGTTATCCCGCAGGGGTTAGCGCTGGCCACCGTAAATAGTCCTTCTTCCCCCTCCCTGCCTGTCGTGTGCCCTTTTGCCGCATCCGACGCACCTCTGCTGCAATTCTGGGCGGGCGATCGCAGCGTCGCAGCGTCGCAGGAGCGAGGAGGGGGAGGAGGGACAGGAAATCAGGAAGAAGGAAGACTCTGTCCTCCTCCAAGGAGTGCTCGGAATCGCTGGCCACCCAAATCTAGTGGCCGAGGGGGGGGCATCCGACCTCCGCTCACTCTGAATCTGAGTGGCCAGGAGTTCAAAGGCCCTCCCTAAATCGGGATCGGTTGGCTGAGAAATATCGATCGATCGGACCGGATCGGAGGGGAACAGCCAGAAGAGGAAGGAGGACGGGGAGGGGGACGAGGGAGGAGCAGCGAGGAAGGGGAGAGTTGGGGGAGGAGGATGAGTGGAAGAACAACTTGCTCGCGCCGGTCCTTCGTGGCGGCGAGTATCTTGGAGATGACGTCCTGGCACTTCTTCGACCGGTCTCGCAGCTGCTCCAGCGCTGGCTTCAGCGACGCCGAAGCACCAGGTATCTGGGCCTCCACGAGCCTGGCAAACTCATCTTCCTGATCCCTCTCCGCTAACTCCTCCTCCTGCTCCTCATCGTCATCATCATCATCATCGTCATCCTCCTCCTCATCATCATCATCAGCATCATCATCATCATCATCATCATCATCATCATCGTCATCGTCATCGTCATCGTCATCGTCATCATCTTCATCAGCATCATCAGCATCATCATCATCGTCATCATCATCATCACCATCATAATCATCATCATCATCATCATCATCATCATCATCATCATCATCATCATCATCTTCATCATCACCACCAGCATCATCATCCTCATCATCATCAGCATCATCAGCATCAGCACCATCGTCATCAGGAGCATCATCATTAACATGATTAACAGCAGCAGCATTACCACCACCATCACCATCGTCATCATCAGCAGCATCACCATCATCGTACTAGTCATCATAATCACCGTCAGGATCATCATCATCACCACCACCAGAACCATCATCATCATCATCATCATCATCATCATCATCATCAGCATCACCACCATCACCATCACCATCACCATCACCATCACCATCACCATCCACCATCACGACCACAATCATCATCATCATCATCATCATCATCATCATCATCATCATCATCACCATCATCATCATAGTCATCAGCAGTTGCAGCATCATCACCATCACCATCATCATGCTCAGCATCCTCATCCTCATCCGAATCAGCATCAGCAGCATCAGCATCAGCATCAGCATCCTCACCATCATCATCAGCAAAATCAGCATCATCATCATCAGTGCCAGCCTCATCAGCCTCGTCGTCGTCAGCAACATCATCAGCATCATCATCATCTGCATCATCATCAACACCTTCATCATCACCATTATCATCAACCACAATCCACGCCAACAGCAGCAGCATGCATATCTACAGCAGCCTCATCATCAGCATCCTCATCATTCTCTCATCCTCATCGCCATCATCATCAGCATCATCGACATCGTCGATATCATCATCAGTAGCACCAGTATCATCACATTTGCCATCAGCATCGGCATCATCATCATCATCGACGTCACAATCATCACCAGCATCATCAGCATCATCAGCATCATCAGCATCAACATCATCATCAACGTCATCACAATCATCATCATCGCATTCGTAGTCGCCAACTTCATAATCATCATCATTATCATCATGATCATCAGCATCACCAGCATCATCAATAATAATCCGCATCAGCACCATTGAAGCACCAACGTCATTATCATCATCATCAGCATCAGCATCACCACCAACACCCCCACCACCGTCATCAGCATCATCGTCATCGTCATCATCATCATCGTCACCATCACCATCACCATCATCATCATCATCATCATCATCATCATCATCATCATCATCATCATCATCATCATCATAAGAGTGAGCGTGATCCACCGCCGCTTTACTGTGGAAAATTGCCGCCCTTTTCCTCCCGAACCCGGAGGTCCACCCCCCCCCCCTCCGAAAATCCCCCCCCCCCTGCTGGACCCCCCCCCCTTCCCCCGGCAAAACCCCCCCCCTCCCCTAACCCCCCCCCCCCCTCGAACTCGAAAACCGGGGGGGGTCACTACCGGTTCGAACCCCCCCCCCCCCGAAAACCGGAGGGGGGGGTCACTACCGGTTCGAACCACTGAGCTGTCCCACTGTTCCCACCACTGTCCCCCTGTCCCTACCACTGTCCCCACTGTACCTCTGTCCCATTGTCCCACCGCCGTCCTCGCCACCGCCTTCACCACTGTCCCCACCACCACTGTACCCTCCACTGTCCTACTGTTTCCACCACATTCCCACTGTCCCCACACCACTGTCCCCCACCACCACCGTCCCCACCACTGTCCCACTGTCCCCACTGTTCCCACCATTGTCCTCACCATTGTCCCCACCACTACCGTCCCCACCACTGTCCCACTGTCCCCACCACTGTCCCGCTGTCCCCTCACCACTGTCCCCACCACCACCGTCCCCACCACTGTCCGCACCCCCCCTCGGTTTTCGAGGGAGGGGGGGGGGTTCGAACCGGTAGTGACCCCCCCCCGGTTTTCGAGTTCGAGAGGGGGGG